GGGAAATGTTTTTCACTTAAACCAAACAGTTTAAGCAGCTCTCTGCTCATAGGGGCTGTTTAGATACCACCTTCTCTCTTGCAGCTGTGCCCAGGACAGGGCTGTCGCCAGCGGTGGGGCTTTAGGGGCTGAGCCCCCTATCAGATCTTCAGAGCCCCCCACCCAATTCTTAAGCCACGTGCTGCGCTGTAAGGAGGGTTAGAGAATCACCGGCCCAAAGCAATTCTCTAACCCTCATTCTGGCGTGGCGCGCAGCTGTGGCTCAAGATTGGGGTGGGGGCGCTGGGGTCGGGGGGTGGCGCAGCGTGGCTCTTCCTGCTTGGTGGGCCAAGCCAGTATTGCTTAAGCCACGCCACCACTGGCCCAGAGTGATTTTTCTAACCCTCCTTCCTTCCTGTGGCTCTTCCTGCAGAAGGAGGAAGGAAGGAGGGTTAGTGAAACGGCTTCGGGCTGGTGCATTGCTAGTGCACCTTCAACAATACTGGCCCGGCCCGCCAAACTAGTCCTCCTTTCCTTCCCCCCTGCGCCTGGGGAGGAGGGAGAGCTTAAGCTGGGGGAAGACTGGGGTAGGGTGGGGGCACTGCTCACTTCATTTAATATAAATAGCTGTGCCCCAGTGCCCCCCCCCCAAATTCCTGGCTACGGGGCTGGCCCAGGAAGAATGAACTCAAGGTTGGGCCTTGAGCCCGCCTGCTCTGTCCTGCTGCTTCACGGTGGGCAGCATTAAACAGCTTAGCCAAGAGATGTCACCTCTGTGTGATCTCTTCGGACCCTATGAAATCAGTCCTTAAACAGGCCAGTAGGTGGTTCTGAACAGGTCCATCGGGGGTCGGGGTTGCCACTTTAAGCTGTGGCTGGAGACTGGAGAGCGCCCGGTATTTAACTGTATTATTGTTAAACAGTTTTAAAATGTTTTTACTCCGTTGACTCTTATTGTGAACCGCCCTGAGCCTCCTTGTGGGGGAGGGCAGGATAGAAACATAAATAAATAAATAAATAAATAAAGTATTACACCTGGTCTCCAGGTGACAGAGATCCGTTCCTCTGGAGGAAATGGCTGCTTTGGAAGGCGGGCCCTATTGCATTATATCCCACTGAGGTCCCTCCCCTCCCCTCGCCAAACCTTGCCTTCCCCAGCCCCCCCCCCAAAAAACCTCCAGGAATCCATCAACCCAGAGCTGGCACCCCTAATCAGGGAGGAGGTGTAGTCTATTGTGTACTGGATCTGTGCCACACCGACAGGTGTTAGTGGCACTCGGCCTGCTGTTCGGCAAGCCCCCTTGAACTGTAAAGCAGCGGCAGCCGAAGTGAATGAATTGTGTCTTCACTGAGCTGTATGAAGGATGCACAGCGTGCTGCTCATTCAGTGTTATGCCCCTTCTTCAGCTAGAGGGACTGCATGCTGGAGCTTTTAAGAACGATCCTGTGGTGATTATTGTAATGTAAAGACACATCCCCCACCAAAAACACCCATTCCCCCTAAAGAGACTTGCTTTCACCGCTCACAGTGGATCATTTTTGGGAACGGAGTCACTCTGACTACTCCAGATGCTCTTAAAAGCTCAGCACTTATATTTGAAATGTACTCAAGTACATGGAGAGGACAACTCCTATACTCGTGGACTTCTGATTTTGAAATCTACAACTTTTTTCCTGTTCCTTGTGATGGATGCCTTAGTTGTCGATATCCGTCAGTGCGCTGCTACCAGAGGGTAGGCTTCCATTGGGATACCTACCATAAGCATACCATACCTAAAGAACACCGAATATCTTTTTGGGAGGCAGAAGCCACACTACTGATTTATCGTTCTGTTACAAGTGCCTGTGGCCTTAGACTGGGGTCCCCAAATACTTCACTGCAGCCCATCGGGGTGACCCAACACTACCCATGCCCCACAGGGCCGCTTGGCTGACTGTGTGTGTGTAAAGTGTTGTCAAGTCACAGCCAACTTATGGTGGCCCCGTAGGGTTTTCGAGGCAATAGACTAACAGAGGTGGTTTGCCCTTGCCAGCCTCTGCATAGCTACTCTGGAACTCCTTGGTGGTCAGCCATCCAAATACTAACCGGAGCCAACCCTTTCATCGCCTGACAAAGTGTGAGTGCACACAAAAGCTCACACCTTGAATAAAACTTTGTTAGTCTTAAAGGTGCCATTGGACCCTGTTAAGCTTCTGAGATCTGACGAAGTTGGGCTAGCCTGGGCCATCGAAGTCACATTCGCTTTACCCAGGAAGTCCTGGAAACAGTGGTTAAGAACATAAGAACATAAGAGAAGCCAGTGTTGGATCAGGCCAATGGCCCATCCAGTCCAACACTCTGTCACACAGTGGCCAAAAATACCAGATGCCATCAGGAGGTCCATCAGTGGGGCCAGGACACTAGAAGCCCTCCCACTGTTGCCCCCCCCCAAGCAACAAGAATACAGAGCATCCCTTGCCCCAGACCAAGAGTTCCTATCTATACCTTGTGGCTAATAGCCACTGCTGGACCTCTGCTCCATATGCTTATCTAATTCCTTATTGAAGCTGTCCATGCTTGTAGCCGCCACCACCTCCTGTGGCAGTGAATTCCATGTGTTAATCACTCTTTAGTTCTTTGACAGGAGCTAGGGATTAGGGATTATACCAGTTTTCACAAACTTGCTGGTTAAGAACATAAGAACATAAGAGACGCCAATGTTGGATCAGGCCAAAGGCCCATCCAGTCCAACACTCTGTGTCACACAGTGGCCAGAAATACCAGTGCCATCAGGAGGTCCAGCAGTGGGGCCAGGACATTAGAAGCCCTCCCACTGTTGACCCCCCCCCAAGCACCAAGAAGACAGAGCATCACTTGCCCCAGAGCCCCTAGCTATACCTTGTGGCTAATAGCCACTGATGGACCTCTGCTCCATATGCTTATCTCTGTTTTGATTCCATTCTCCCTTGTGAATGGAACCACTCTGACCCTGTTTGGGGAGGGCGGTATATAAATCTAATAAAATTTTAAAAAATCAAAAATCCAGGAGTTATTAATTTTACAACATTTCTGTTGTTCTGTATTGAACTTCCCCCCTCTAAAAATGGGTTTTATAATGCCTACCTGTGGCATAGTAATGAAGAATTATCATCACCAGCAAAGAAAATGGTGGACCCTAGCCTGTGATCGTAACATCTGGAATCCAAAGAGATTTATTGGCATACACCTGTTTGGGTGCTCTAACAGAATTTTCATAACACTCACAAAACCAGTATTTCCAGGATATCTGGTGAAGGGAGCTTTGACTCTCGAAAGCTCTCAGGTGCTCCTGGTCCCTAGCTGTTCTACTGCAAACCAACACAGCTACCCTCCGAAACAGTTCCCAATATGGTGTTGGGTATGTCAACTTTGCCCCTTCCTTGGGTTTGGTTGCCAGGGGGACACGGGGTATGTGAAGAACGTATACTTTCATTTCTGTTCGCTCTGCCATTATCTTCCTCAGCTCAGACATGTAACCTTGAGCCCCAGTCACGACTGGTGTCCTCTTTCCCCTGGGAACCATAGGTCATTATTTAGGCGGACCTTTAGCTTAGGTGTGATTGGCCCAGGCCATTAGGGTCCTGCTTAATTTAGGTATAATTACTTGATTCGCACACTTTCCCCCAGTTCTAACACAGAACCGTTAAGAGCCTGGATCCTATCAATGTCTCAATAAACTGTTTATTTCTTTGAATGGCTGTTGTTGGGAACTGATTTCTCCAGGGGTCTGACAGGTAGCCATGATGTTAAAACAAATATAAAAGCAATGCCCATCTTTAATGTAGATTTACCAATTTGGATGTCCTCCTGCATGGTCAAGATGTATGGGAAGGGGCTGTGGCTCAGTGGAAGAGCCTCTGCTTTGCATGCAGAAGGTCCCAGGTTCAACCCCTGGTATCTCCAGTTAAAAGGACCAAGCAGTAGGAGATCTGAAACACCTCTGCCTCAGATCCCGGAGAACCACTGCCAGTCCGTGTAGATAGTACTGACCTTGGACTGGTGGTCTAATGCAGCTTCATGTAGCCTCTCAGAGAGTTTTAAAAATACCAAGATGGTAGGTTGTATTCAGACAGCGATGTCTGCCAGGCCTCACTGCAGACTTCTGGTTCACCTTCATGCTGAACCTGAAGGTCCCCTCTCCCCCGGGAGCAGCATTTTCAGGGAGATGGGTGGGCTGCCCCAGGAGGGGTAATGCAGAGAAGGTGAGTTCAGGGAACAGAGATGCTTTTTGTTCACTGAGATTATCACTAGGATTCAACCCCAAGACTGGCTTTTCTTTTGTGTTTCACATCCTGCCTGAACTTGAAAACTTGCATTCACCTTGGATGGTCCTAATAAAAAAGTTATCATACCCTCACTGTCTCTGTTGGATTGTGGCCAATCATTTGGAGGAATTAGGAAGAGGGGGGAAATTGACCGTTGCCCCTCTCCCACTGTGTTTCGTGGTGCTCCCCCCCCCGTCCCGTCCCCGGATCAGAGGAATCCAAAGGACCTGTTCTTGGTGCCACGAGGGGATCTGCAGTGGGAGAGGGGATCAGCAGAGACCGGACTAGGATCCGGGAGACCCAAGTTTGGATCCCTACCTTGCCACAGAAGCGTGCTGGGTGTCTTGTGAGTCTAGAACGGAGGAGAACGATGTAAATAAATGAAGCAACAATGTAAATGAATGAGGTAGATAAGTTGGCCAGTCATTTGGAGGAATTAGGAAGGGGGGGGAATTGACCGTTGCCCCTCTCCCACTGTGTTTCGTGGTGCTCCCCTTGTCCCCGGATCAGAGGAATCCACAGGACCTGTGCTTGGTGCCACGAGGGGATCTGCAGTGGGAGAGGGGATCAGCAGAGACCGGACTAGGATCCGGGAGACCCAAGTTTGGATCCCTACCTTGCCACGGAAGTGTGCTGGGTGTCTTGTAGGAGGAGAACGATGTAAATAAATGAAGCAACAATGTAAATGAATGAGGTAGATAAGTGGGAATAATAAAAATTAAAGGTACAGGGGCATAGTGCCTCCTTCATTGGTGGAATTACTCTTCTGTTGATGGAAAACTAAGTTTAAATCCAAATCACTGTCTGTGCATAACACAACACCGCTGTGTCCTCCGGGCACAGAGCAGGGGTCACTGGGAGAAGGGGGGAGGGAGTTGTGAATTTCCTGCATTATGCAGGGGGTTGGAAGAGATGACACTTGGGGTCCCTTCCAGTTCTGTGTTTCTATGAGACAATGCTTCTGTGGTAATCAAATTAGGATGGTATGTATTAAGAGCCTCGCAGCCTGCTCCTGGGTGTGTTTACTTGGAAACGTCCCCCCTTTTTAGTGCTTAGATTTCCATACTCGAGTGCTTTATTTTTAAGGGAGTTTTCTGAGGAAAGAGGCTTGCAAATGAAAATCTATCAAAGGAGGCGAAGAACACAATCAAATTAAAAGCCGCTTTTCAAGTAAAACAGAAGCATCTTGCGTTTCTACGGCATGTCAGGGTTTTTAACGCGAGAGAGCCCGTGAACCTTCAAACTGCCGCTTGAATGAATCGTTTTGAATGCCGTGTTTGGATTTGTTTAGAACTTCGAAGCCAGGCTTACAGAGATGAAGAATGAGCTGCAGTCCCGCGACGACCTCTTGAACATGGTAGAACTGGAATGCCAGCAGTTGCAGAAAGAAGTTGCCAAAATGGAAGACTATAAAAATAAGGAAGGCAATCATGTGAAGTATGTATTGGAAACCCAGGTCTGCACTGTAAGAGTGGGATGATCTAGTTTTATTTATTTATTTATTCGCTCTGGGCAGGCTCAGGGCGGCCCACACAAAAATTAAGACAGATAAAACAGAGCATTTATAAAACCATTAATAAAGTGCTAGTGTACGATATTGCATGAAATAATAGTGTACGATATTGCATGATGATGCACAGTATCGTATCCGTCATGGTGGGTTACAGTCAGCAGTGATTTTAGGACTATCATCTCGGTCCCATGCTGGTTTCGGTTTACGCCGGCGAGGTGCAGGTTGCCGATGATGGTTCCAGGCATAGGGTCTTAGTTACTTTTTCTCAGCATACTCTAGATATGGAACGCCATCCAAAGGAATGTATATGCCAGTCTATCAAAGGACTTAACTGGGTGCTTAAGCAACACGTATTTCACTGAGATTTCCCTTTTTCTCGGCTGCACCCCTGGTATAGCTAGATTCGAATCCAGCAGCACCGTAGAGACCGACAAGATTTTGGGAGGATATAAGCTTTGAGCATCCAAGCTTATACCCCCAAACTCTTGTCGATCTCTAAGAGTCGAATCTAGCCACTACAGACCAACAGGGCTGCCCTCCTGAAACTACCCCCTGGTGTATTCAGAGATATTCTGGATTAGAATTTCAAATTATCTTCCATTTTGGAAGCAGTGTCTCAGAGCTATCTCAGGGCCAAACAACATGCTGCAAGGGAGATCCGCGACTGGATTTGGCAGCATTTCTTTAACATAAAAGCAGCAGCAGGCGTGCCCTCCAATTTGGATTGGGATTATCTTGCTGGGGCCTGATTCGGATCAGTAATGCTGTGCTAGGGGATCTGTCATTTTACTCTCTTCCCCCCACCGCTTCCGCAATATAAATGGGTTGCCCCTTCTGGGAGCAGCTATTTTCGGTGGTGGCCCCAACCCTAACCCTAGCCCCATGGAATAGCCTTCCGGAAGATATTAGGCAGGCTTCCACCCAGCACTGTTTAACACAGGGGCCCCTGACCTTTTTCAGCCCACGGGCACCTTTGGGATTCTGATACAGAGTGGTGGGCACAGTCACAAAATGGCTGCCTTAGAAGGCGGAGCCAGCCACAAAATGTAATTCCACATAGCCACATGCTTAGATGTAATTCTACTATTGGTGTTATACGTAACACTAGTAACTCTTCATCATTTCAGGCAGAAGCTATGCTTAACAGGAGGCCTTTTTAAATTAACAAATTGTTGAAATGTTTTTGTTTTCTTGCCTACGCAGAGTTTATCCTTGTTTTCTTGCCTACACAGTGAAGGTCCTTGTGCTGTGATGGCAGCTGCTTGCCAAAGCAATTTTTTAAAAAATCTGCACAGCTAGTCAGATCTCTCGTAGAGGATCAGAGACCCCACCAGGCCCTGCCCCCTTTCCAGAAATACTTGGTGGGCACCAAGAAAGGTGTTGGTTGGTGCCATGGTGACTATGGGCACCAAGTTGAAGATCTCTAGTTTAGCATGTCTGAGGAAAGCCAAGCTGTGTTTCTTATGCTTTAGTCGGTTCCTTAGATGTAATTCTACTTGTGTGTTGGCTGAGCTCTTTCTCATTTTTAACATACTCTGCGCTGTACCTTTTTTGGGAGGTGATTATGCTTGCTTCGTAAACTGCCTAGAGCCACCCTCATTTTGTTGGGTTGGGGGAAGATGGGATATATTGTTTCAATAAATCAGTTTTTGCTTGGTGGGTGAAGACAGGTTTAGTAAAGTAGGTGGCTGGTATGTTTTTGTCTTCTTGAAGCTATCATCCGCCCTGTGTGTGATTTCAGCTGAAGAAATGTCATTGGGAGAAAGGCTGCGGGGGGACCCTTTCCCAGTGCCATGGACCCAGACAAAATATTGCCTCCTCACCCACCCCATAAGTGTTTTTCTAATGGTAAAGGAAACTCTGGGAAAACAGATCCCCCACGTAATCTGTAAAATGTGCGCCCTCATTAATGGAGACATATTTAGTCTCCGGTATCTCTGGTCAAATGAAATGAAATTGCTGAGCGGTCGGGTTAGAACAGATAAAAGGAAGTACTTCTTCACCCAAAGAGTGATTAACACATGGAATTCACTGCCACAGGAAGTGGTGGCGGCTACAAGCATGGACAGCTTCAAAAGGGAATTAGATAAGCATATGGAGCAGAGGTCCATCAGTGGCTATTAGCCACAAGGTATAGATAGGGGCTCTCAGTCTGGGGCAAGTGATGCTCTGTATTCTTGGTGCTTGGGGGGGGGTCAACAGTGGGGGGGCTTCTAATGTCCTGGCCCCACTGGTGGACCTCCTGATGGCACTGGTATTTCTGGCCACTGTGTGACACAGAGTGTTGGACTGGATGGGCCTTTGGCCTGATCCAACATTGGCGTCTCTCATGTTCTTATGTTCTTAAATGAGGATGGCCAGGTTTAATGTCCATATACGCTACACCACAGCGGTGGGCATATGGAATCCCAGGACTCCTATTTGCTCAACTCACAAGCTGGCTGCAGAAAGCCTCTGTTTCTGCAGTTTACTCATGAGGAGCAGCCATTCGGAGTGCAAGTGGGTTCTCACCCAATCTCCCTTAAGAACATATGACAATGTTGGATCAGGCCAGTGGCCCATCCAGTGCAACACTCTGTCACACAGCAGCCAAAAATACCAGGTGCCATCAGGACGTCCAGCAGTGGGGCCAGGATACTAGAAGCCCTCCCACTGTTGCCCCCCCCCCCAAGCACCAAGAATACAGAGCATCCCTTGCCCCAGACTGAGAGTTCCTATCTATACCTTGTGGCTAATAGCCACTGATGAACCTCTGCTCCATTTGTTGTTGTTGTTCAGTCGCACAGTCGAGTCCGACTCTTTGCGACCCCATGGACCAGCTCCCTCCAGGCCCTCCGGTCTTCCGCCATCCTCTGAAGTTTGCTCAACTTCATGCTCGTTGCATCGATGACACTGTCTAACCATCTCATCCTTTGCCGTCCCCGTCTTCTTTGACCTTCAATCTTTCCCAGCATCAGGGTCTTCTCCAGTGAGTGCTCCCTTCTCATTTGGTGGCCAAAGTATTTGAGCTTCAGTTTCATTATCTGGCCTTCCAGGGAACAGTCAGGGTTGATTTCTTTGAGGATTGACTGATTTGTTCTTCTTGCAGTCCAAGGGACTCTCCAGCACCATAGTTCAAAAGAATCTATTCTTCTGCGCTCGGCCTTCCTTATAGTCCAACTCTCGCAGCCATACATGACTACTGGGAATACCATTGCTTTGACCATGCGGACTTTTGTTGGCAGGGTGATGTCTCTACTTTTTATCATGCTGTTTAGGTTCGCCATTGCTTTCCTCCCTTGAAGCTGTCCATGCTTGTAGCCGCCGCCACCTCCTGTGGCAGTGAATTCCATGTTAATCCAAGAAAATTGTGCTGGCCAGAAACCACCTTCCAGCTGGTGTTCTCAACCGTGGTGTTTCTCCGCTTCTTCCCAGATGTCAGCTTGCCATAGTTCCTCACCGGAAGCCCCCTGATGGAAGCTTCTTAGGTCCCCATTGAAAAGAAAGGAAGGGTAGAGTCTTACTTTTTATGCAAATGCAGGGGATTCAGAGGAACCAGTAGATTGTAGTAATTTCATAATGCTATGACCTGGATAGCCCAGGATAGCCCTATCTCACCAGATCTCAAAAACTAAATGGGGTCAGCCCTGGCTAGTATTTGGATGAGAGACCTCCACAGAATACAGGGGTCGTGACGTGGAGGCAGGCAATGGGAAACTACCTCTGAACATCTCTTGCCTTGAAAACCCTACAGGGTCACCATAAGTTAGTTGCCAACTTTCCAAAAATCTGAGAAAGCCCCGCAGGGGTGCAGGGGTGAGGTTGGGAATGGCTCCTGCAGGAGGGAGGGGATTAGGGCAGGGGTGATGCAGGAAAACCCACCGAGTAGAATCTCTGTTGCCGCTGTGCTTACTGGCAGCTGTGCTGGCACCAGGGAAACTAGGCAAGCCTGTCCCTGTGTGGAACACACCCGAGTGAAGCTGTGTGTCCTCTTATATTTTATTTATTAGATTTCTATTCCACCCTTTCCCGGAGGCCCAGGGCGGATATGAAAAAATACAATGCTGAGAAACAGGAAATTTGTTGGAAACTCCCCCAGGTTTTCCTTCGTGTTCCAACTGTTCAATCCTCTGCAGAGTTATTCCAGTCTAAGTCCACTTATTTACATGACTTAGGTCACACGCACAATTAGCCGCGCCATAGGCGTGAATGCTGGGCGGATTTAAACGGCGCGATCAGACACAAACATCTGGGAAGTGCCCTGTACCCGTCAGCAACCCGTTTTGCTCCGCCGCAGGAGTGGAATAAAAAGACACTGGGGAAAGTCCGGTAGCAAACCGGTTGCTATGGGCCACGGATGGACTTTCCCCTGTGTGATCACTCCAGCGTGCTCCCATGGCGTCAGGATGGTCCGATCGGGCCATCCCGACTCCATGCCGTTGTTTCCCCCCCCCCCTGTCTCGGTATGCACATCATTGCACACTGCATGGGGAGCCCTCAGTGCAGAGATGCAAATCATCGATCCCTTGTTGAAGCACACCGGAAACACATGGCAAAAAAAACACACCCCAATTCATCCGTGGTTGTGTCTGATCACTCAGTGGCGGGCTGTGCCTGCAGCTTCCAAGGACTGTGTGATCGCGCAACTGCGGAGCAAATTCCTACAGAGCCAATAGCCTCGCTTCCCCCCTCCCCCTGCTTTACCTTGTGCGTGTGACTCTGCCATCTTAGACTTGTGACTTTGCATAGGATTGCACTGTCAGTCCCCTACATTTTCTTTGACTAAAATAGCATTGTCTGTCCACTTTGACCTCATTCAGATTTTTTCCCCCCCTGCAAGGGAAGAATCTGGGCATGTAATTTTGTAATGATTCTTTTTTTTTTGAAGGCTTCAGTCGGCTTATGCCCAGTGCATCAAGGAACTGGAGACAAAAAAAGTGGAGATGCATGTCTTGGAACAGCAGTGCGAAAATCAACAGAAAGAGCTAAACCAGGTAATTCCCACTAGAAGTATTTCAGAAACTGATGTTCCAGAATCTTTTCACAAACACAAGTAAGGCAAATTATGATCTGGGCTCTACTGTCTCTTGTTGGAATTACTCATCCAGAGGTTTAGAAAGAAGCTCTCTGTGATAATCATACGCCTAGAATATCTTCTTGCCATTTTTTGCAGGTGCTGCAGCTGCTCTGAATCAGTCATCCCCCAGCTTTCTGTCTTGGGGTAACCCATCAGCCATGGAACCCTTTGCATGTTGCAGAGGATTCTGGGATGCGTTTTAGAGCACAGCAGAGTTCACGGGAAGTGCCCGCCTGGCCTGTTGGCAATGGTTCTACATGAATGGACAATGGACACTAGAATAAGGCCTACTCTAGAATTACAGCAGCATGGAATTGAGAGGTAGAATTAGATAATACATCTTCCAGAGATGCTCTTCTGCTGTTTGTACGGGGTGATGAAACTGTAATGAAAACACAGGCTGCATCCGCTTGGTGAGGATTTGCCTTTTGGCGTTCGTTGCCGCTGTGAATGCAGAAGCATGCATCTTGGAAACAGGCTTCCAAGCTGGAGTTTTCTGTGATCTTTCCTCGATCAGCCTTCATTTTCCCTGAGCTTTCCCCTCTTGTACCACTGGAGAGCTTTTGGAGGGCTTTTTAAAAAACAAACAAACAAACAAACCTGGGCTGCTATAGCATTATAGCAATTACCCTTTTTTTAAAAAAAAGGTCATCCAAAAGTCCTCTGGGTGTGCTGCAGAAAAAATGAAGGACACAAGGGGCTGATAGAAAGATATGGTCAGGACCTGTGAAATGCACGGCTTCATGTCCAGATTGTGTGATAATACATTTGGACTGTGTTTTCTGCAAAATATCTGAGAAAAGCAGGTTTAGAAAAGAACGTGCCAAAACCCGGGAAAGACCAACTGGGCCAGAAGTATTTGTTTTGTCAGAGGATCACAGAATTAGGAATTAGAATTAGAAGGCAATACAAACAAAAGCTAATCTAAGGCATCGCATACCATAAACAGTGCAGGAAATGGATTACAGAGGTAGAAGAGAATGTGGTTAAAGCAAGATAGTAATACAGTAAACAGTGCAATAAACTATGTTTTTATAAAAGCACCCTATGACAGGCCCGTAGCCAGGAAATTTTGGTTGGTGGGGCAGGGGCACTGGGGCACTGGGGCAGGGAAACGGGAAACTTAGGGTGTGTGTGTATTTTTCATATGTGTGTGTGTGCACACGCACCTAGTAGTCATGGCAACTTCTGGTGATTGACAGTGTGTGCACTTGGAAGTCATGTCAACATCTGGTGATTGACCCCTGCTGGGAACTTGGAGGATATTCAGAGAGGTGGCTGAATAAAGCCTGCCCCTGCCTCCCGACTGCTGGTATTCCAAAGTCTCCTATCCACGTACTTGCCAGAGTTGACCCTGCTTAGCTTGGGCTATCCAGGTCAGGCCTAGGAGCAAAGGATTTAATGAGATTACTAATTAGATTTACTCAGTTCCCCGCAGGGGTCATTTTGTAGAAAAAGAGGTGCAGGAGCTCATTAGCGTAACACATTAGCATAACTTATTTGCATATGCCATACCCCCTGACATCACTAGAAGTGTGTCAGAAGGCAACACCCACCACTCAGGCTCCACTGGACTGTTTTGGAATGCTAGCTTTTGTGGGGGGGGGGGAGGAACATGCAGATCTGTCCTCACAGAGGAGGGAGAGCTTGTACCTGAATAAAACTTGGTCTTAAAGGTGCCACTGGACTGTTTTGGACTGGGGGGAGGGGTTCTGCAACTTACCTGGCTGCTTCTTGCTCTGACTGGGGGTTGCTGGGAGCAGGGGTGGGGCTTGTTGCATGTGCCTGCCCCCTGGGCTCTTTACTGCCGGACCTCCGCTCCTGTGCACTCCTGCAGGAAATGACCCCTGGTGTTCTGGGAAGGTAATTCAGGGACCATCCCTTCCAGAGCCTCCCTGCCGCTTCTGGTCAGTTTCACGTCCCTCCAAGCAGCTGTTAGGTTTAACAGCTGATCAGCTGGAGTGAAACTGACCAGAAGTGGCAGTGCCGCTTCCCTGGAAGAGGGAGGGGCAGGGATAAGGAGTGCAGTGCAGTGGAGGTGGGTGGATGGGAGGATCTGGCATCCTCCAGGAGGTGAGCAGGGCTTATCCTTGGTGGGGCTCTGCCTCCCCCAATGCCCCACTGTGGCTACGGGCCTGCCCTATGAATCCGCTCCATTATATGACAGCCTTTATAAAGATGCCCTTCTGAACATTTCTGTCTTGCATAGTCTGCAGAAAGATAGACATGTGGGAACCTCCCTGCCCTACCCAGGCAAGCCATTCACCAAGGCGGGAGCCTCAACAGAGAATGCGCAAGTCCGGACAGTTCCCAGTCTTACCTGTTGGCAGGATGGCGCATTTAAAAGGCCTTGGCCTGTCTGGCCCAGGCTAGCCCAGTCTCATCCGTCCCCAGAAGCTAAGCAGAGTGGGAGCTGGCCAGTACATGGATGGGAGACCACCGAGGAAGTCCGAAATCGCAACACAGAGACAGGCAATGGGAAACCGCCTCTGAACATCTCTTGCTGAGAAAACCCTGTGGGGGGGTTGCTATAAGTCAGCTGCAACTAGATGGCACTTTACACACACACACACACGGACCTTTAAAGTGCTTTGTTCAGCTGAGCCAAGGTGTCTCAATGCTTCATAGCAGGAGAGGCAGTCCTGTAGATATGTGGGACCAGTAACCTGAATTGTACCTGGTGACTGACTCCAATGGAGTAAGTGCAGAATGGGTATAATATGCATACTCTACCTAGCTCCTGATAGCAACCAGGTGGCAGTGTTCTATACCGGCTGGAGTGTTGGAGTAAGAGCAGACTTAGGTAGGGTCTATTATAATAGTCAAATGTGATATTGTGTGGATGCTGTCGTCCCCGTCGTCCCCCCCCCAAATTGCCCAAAGCATGCACATAATATATCTCAATATTGGTATTTGCTACTTTCCAACGTCTCAGTAACAGTAAACGGACAACTTGTGAGTAAGTATAAAAACCTCTGAAAAGGTCAATAGAAAACTGTAAGGGGGGGTAGTTCCATTGCTGCTTTCTGTATTAGCATCCAGAAGGGTAATACTGTTCTAAATGCTCCCCATTTGTTACTGGCAAAAAGATTTTGGAAACTCACAATCTTCACTGTGCTGCCGGGAGAGAATAGGATAGTCCAGGAAACGTGACCTTCAAGGCTGTGTCCAATGCCAGAGAACGTTGCCAGAGAACAGTAAATGACTCCGGTAGCAAATCCTGTATTTTCTTTTATTTCAGTGCCATTTTCCTCTTCAGCAGACTTCCAAAAGTCATTTCTGATTGTTCCTGTTGCCAAAATATCGACACGACTTAGAGAGATGATAGAGGATTCTCTAAGAAAGGTGTGGCCAAACTGTGGCTCGGGAGCCACATGCGGCTCTATCACACATATTGTGCGGCTCCCGGCAGGGCGGCTGGGGAAGCGAAGGGGAGGCAGGCCTCCCCAATTGGTCTTCCCTTCCACAGCCAGTGCTGGGTAGGCTTGAGGTGTGTGTGTGTGGGGGGGAGCAGAGAAAGAAAGCAGCTTTAACTTTAAATATGTTCTCAAAGCCCCCCCCCCGCTGGCTGGCTTGGGGCTGGGGGGGGGGGACTTGAAGGACACATTTAAAGCTAAAGTTGCTTTCTTTCCACCTCTCCCTCCTCCCATCTTTGTTTCTCTCTCTCTTTCTCTCATTCTTTCCATCTCTTCTTTTGTTCTTTCCACCTCTCTCTCTCTCTGTGTCGTAGACAAATAAATATAATTAGCAAACAAATATCACTGGACAAATATTATCAATATCCGTCCTTACCCTTTTTGTTTTTGTTTTTGGCAGTCTCATTTAATGTTAATAAAAAGCAAATTTGCATATTTTCCACTTTAAAATGTGTGTGTGATATTTGCTAATGTCTTTGAGGCTCTCAAATATCTGACGTTTATTCTATGTGGCTCTTAACATTAAGCAAGTTTGGCCACCCCTGCCCTAAGACATGCCTGAGATCGGTCCCTCAGGCATCACGTACTGCCTAAGCCTCACGGTATTTATTTAATTAATTAAGGGGCACGGTGGCTCAGAGGTTAAGACGCTGAGCTGTAGACTGGAAGGTCTGTAGTTCGGCAGTTTGAGTCCCGAGTGCTGCGTGACGGAGTGAGCTCCCGTCTCTGGTCCCAGCTCCGGCCAACCTAGCAGTTCGAAAGGAAGAAACTTCAAGTAGATAAATAGGTACTGCTTTGGTGGGACGGTAACAGTGTTCCATGCACCTCGGCGTTTAGTCATGCCAGCCACATGACCACAGAAACATCTTCAGACAGCGCTGGCTCTTCGGCTTGGAAACTGAGATGAGCACCGCCCCCTAGAGTCGGATTCAACTGGCTTTCAAGCAAGGGAAACCTTTACCTTTATTTATTTAATTGGTGTTTACTATGTTATTTATAGTATACCTTTCTCATTGAGACTCAGTAAGTCAGTACAATCAATAGGATGAGGAGACTTCTAATAAGCAATGTAATGGGACTAGGACAGCAGAAATCTTGGGAGATTACCCACACATGCACACAAACACAAATCCCTGAGTTCCAGATTCTTCTGGCGAGAGATCAGGAGAAAGCCTCATTGCTTTCCCCTCTACTCTCATCACTGCAGAGACTGATGAACATCCCGAATTAGTTTTTCACGTCAGGGAAATCCTGACATCCAAATAACTTGCAAGGTCACTGTTTTGTTCCTGGCACCAAGGAAAATGAGAGGAGAGGGTGGAAGGAGCAGAGGAGGTAATGCACAAGCTGGAAGAAGCCCAACCATCCAGTCCTAAACATTTACACCCTTTTCATTCAGAAGGGTGTAAGTGTACCCAGGAATGTATGGGGATCTTTTCCCAGAGCGAATCTGGGGAGGGGGGAGCAATATCCAAATAGTCCCTCAGTTATCATAGCATCTTGCGGGATGCTGTCAGTTGGTACAACTCCTCCGAGAGCCAGTTCGGCGTAGCGGTTAGGAGCGCGGACTCTGCTCTGGGAGAAATGGGTTTGATTCCCCACTCCTCCGTGTGCAGCTGCTGGTGTGACCTTGAGTCAGTGACAAGTTCTTTCAGAGCTGTTCTCTCACAAGCAGTTCTCTCAAGAGCTCTCTCAGCCCCACCTGCCTCACAGGGTGTCTGTTGTGGGGAGGGGAAGGGAAAGGAGATTATAAGCCGTGCTGGTACTCCTTTGGGTAGTGAAGGGGAGGGTATAAATCCAATCTCCTCATACTCCTCCTCCTCTTCTTTGTCTTTGCTGGTGCAACAGCCTCCTAGTACAGTGATTCTCAGCCACTCAGGAGCCACATGTGACCCTTTGACATGCCCTCTGAGGGTCTTCTGGGCACCATTCCCCAATGGGGCACCTGCCTCATGTCTCAGGAGAGAGGGCACGGCCCTTGCCAGGAAAGGCTTACGGTTGGCAGGTGGCTCCCACCTTGAAGTCACTTCTGCCAGAGAAACGGATATGCTGCAAGCCTCCCTGAAATACAGGCCTCATGCCAGGGTTGGAAATAAATGTGGCTCTTTGAGCTGATGGCGGTTGCAACCTGTGGGGTGGGTACCACTCTCTCAATACATTTCTCATTGTTTGTTTGAGCAGAGGTCCATCAGTGGCTATTAGCCACAAGGTATAGATAGGGACTCTGGGGCAAGTGATGCCCTGTCATCTTGATGCTTGAGGGGGTCAACAGTGGGAGGGCTTCTAATGTCCTGGCCCCACTGGTGGACCTCCTGATAGCACCTGGTATTTCTGGCCACTGTGTGACACAGAGTGTTGGACTGGATGGGCCTTTGGCCTGATCCAACATTGGCATCTCTTATGTTCTTAATGGTGTTTTGCAAACCTCCACAAAACTGGTCCGTGATCCACAAATCCATTTACTGTCTAAGCACAATGAAGGAAATAAGGCCAATAATATACAGTCTGCAGGTGGATTTCTAACCCCTCTGATCGCTTTTTATCCTGACTCTTAATTTTAATGTAAAATATTACAGGCAGACTCGCAGCTTGGTTGAAAGCTGATGGGCAATTCGTCTTTAACTATCTTTTACTCCCCCATGTCCACTGCTATGTGGCACCAAACCAGGAAGACAGATGGATTGGAGTATACATTTTAAGCTGCACCAAGTAGCGCAGCCGGTTATTCTGAATCATAAGACGTTTCGAAATCTCTCCGCTCTCACTAATGTGGTCGGAAGGGTAGGCGCATTGGAACCAGAGAGCCTCAAAAGTCGGCAGTAGGGTGAAAAAACGATAAGATCTGAAACTCCGCCTCCCATTCTCTCTCTCTCTCTCTCTCTTTTGGGCCACTTTCTGCAGATAAGGGACCATCTTTATCAGGAAGCGCAGTCCCATCGCTCTGAGGTGGAAAGAATGAGGACCGAAATCTCTGACCTGACAGAAGAGCTTCATCAGAAGGAGATCACTATAGCAACTATCACGGAGAAAGCTGCTCTTCTGGAAAGGCAGTTACAAATGAAATTAGAGATAAAAGAGAAAACGTTAGGAAAACAACAGGTATGCAAACTGAATGAAAAATCGGCACTGGTCAGTTGGCTGTTGCGGAGATTAGCGCCTATTGATGGCCATGAAAACAATTACCTCACAGAATATGAGGAGAAACCGCCTGGCCGAAGCCGGAAATTAGTCCATTTGTGGTCTCGCACTAATATTACCACATCATACAGAAGCAAATAATCCAGACTTCATGTTATTGCAATCCACAAACAGCTTTCCCAAATTCCCATCTGCGTTTCTTCCTGCTAACTATGAGATTTCTTAGCAGTTGGCTCCTAACGAGCGTACCGGCAAGGTAAAAGTGTTTGGGCACGGTGTCCGTAAACCTTAATAAAGAATTCTGAGTACTGTACAGGCCCTTCCTGAATTGGAACAGTTCAAACTGAATGCCTAAATGATCCCTCATTTTTTTTTAAACCCCCCCCCCCTTGTAAAACAAATGTTCATTTTCAAAAAATAGCTCAAGGAAAAAAACCAAAACCTTTCTTTTTGGCACAGTAGTTTTTCCATGTAGGAGGTGTTTTTGTACACAGGGCAACAGTGAAACAGGGAATTGCTCACCTGTTCTGTGGCAGCCTGTTTGAGTTGCTTTCATGCACACAGCGGGGACATCAGCACGGGGGCTGTGTCAGTGTGGTGTAATTGGTCTCATGCTGCAGGGGTGAATGTATAAAGAATGCACCCACACGGGCAGGATGACACATGCAAAAACTCACACACGTGGAATTACTTATGTGTCTGTCAGATTTTCTTCATTCCGCCTATCTTCTAAGAACATAAGACCATAAGAAAAACCAATGTTGGATCAGGCCAAAGGCCCATCCAGTCCAACACTCTGTGTCACACAGTGGCCAAAAATACCAGGTGCAATCAGGAGGTTCACCAGTGGGGCCAGGACACTAGAACTTTATCAAAAGCTCTAGTGTCCTGGCCACACTGGTGGACCTCCTGATGGCACCTGGTATTTTTGGCCACTGTGTGACAGACTATCTATACCTTGTGGCTAATAGCCACTGATGGACTTCGGCTCCATATGTTTATCCAATTCCCTCCTGAAGCTGTCCATGCTTGTAGACACCACCACCTCCTGTGGCAGTGAATTCCATGTGTTAATCACTCTTTGGGTGAAGAAGTACTTCCTTTTATCTGTTCTAACCCGACTGCTCAGCAATTTCATGGAGTGCTCAAGGCCTAATCACGTTACAAAGCCCTTGTGTCGGATGTCCGGCTTTGGCGCTTTGAACGATGGCAGCGTCTTTAGGGTCCTCCGAGAGATGTGTGCCATGAATCGGGGATTAGGAGGGAGCGTGATTGTGCACGCTCCCCCATGAAGCCCATAGGCAATGGGCTTCTAGCCAGGGGGCTTTGGAGAGCCCTACCTCCGGCCGGTAGCCGGTACAGGGGGGCTACTCTCTGCCCTGAAGGTCCTGCCCTGTTTCCCAGTACTGGATTAGAAGCGACCACCGGGACAAGCATTTGGAGGTTTAGCGATTTTCTCTGCCTGGCGTGATCCCAGGGGCCGTCTTAGGACCTGGTGGATTGATTCAAGGATTGATGAGTGAGTTGCCGTTGAAACGAGACACTAAAGCCTAGAAAGCGGAGCGTTTAAACAGACCTTAGAGACTTTGGCATTCTTTCTCGGCTGATGTAAACATCCCCAAAAGTTGGCGACAAGAGGCGAAGAGGGAGGCGGGACCAATGCTTTCTTCAGCAAGGAGGACAGTGGAAAGTTAGGTTGTGATCTAACTATAGACTCTGTCTTTAATGTGAATCATGGGCCCTCTGGTGGCTAAAGTGAGAAGCGATCTGGATCTGTACTAAAAGCAGCTACACTTTTAAAGGGACAGTACGTCGATCATAGAGATATGTGAATGGCAAGGAGACTCTAGGGTTTGGTTCTTTGTGGCTGGACTGGCAAGCTGATCGAAAAGCGGTTTTTTGGCGTAAAGGGGTCGCTACCCTAACTTTATAAGATCCGCTTGCTAGGAGAGGGGTTGGAGTCTCCAATGGGCGTGTTGTTGTTGCAGCAAAGGGAGAGACTCTTTTGATCTAAAACGTTTAAGGAAGCGAAGATGTCCCAGGAAAAAAGGAACTTGGTTTATATCACGAATGGACAGATCCGGACTTATAAAAACTAAAAGAAAGTGGAAGAAAGAAGATACATCGAAGACGGAAGAAGAAAAACGAGTTGTAATGTTCTTGCTGAGGGAACATTGGTTTTAAAGATTTTGCTGGGGGGGAGAGTAAAGCGTGGAGATGCTAATTTTTTCTTAAGGGATGTGTTATGTGTGTTATAGATTTGGAATTTCTCTCTGTTCAGTCAGATAAGCAGGTTTTGTCAACAGAAGCGATGATTGGTGGGCACTCTTCATGTTTGAAAGTAACTGTATAAGAGTAACAACTATGTTTTAAGCACTGTATAACCTCCATTCTTGGGGTTTTAGTTAGGTTCTTTTTACTTTTTTCTATAGATTGTAGACTCCCCCTCCCCAATCTCTGTTGTAGTTTTATAGAAAAGCAAATAAAAAATTCCCCTTCGGGGGGCAAAAAAGAAAAAGCCCTTGCGTCCCTCGTGGGTCTGCCTCAGGTCCCATCAACAGACATGCTCTGGGAGTTCAGTCCTCTGCTTCCAAGCGCACGCTGGCTCCGTTTGGATCGAGACTGTGAGGAGAAGAGTCTTATGCCTTCCTGCCCCACACACACACACACCCAATATCATGACCTGGAATGGTTCCTGGACAAATAGTGATTTCCCCAGGGCTGTTTTGGGTCTGGAAAATGGCACGGGGTAGCCTTCAGCCCCTGCTCTGCACACCTTGTTCCAAATCTGAGTTGGAACCACCCACACCTGAGAATCACATTCTGAACATTTTGTTCCCAGAGTACGTCTGTGAGAAGGACCCACGGAAGACATGCAAGGTGTGCGAGGACTTTGTTAAACGGGCAACTAAGCCCTCTGCACGGCACATGTTATTTCCCACCACTTTATCCTCCCAACAGTCCTGTGAGGTTTGGTTAGTATGAGAGACACTGACCAGCTCAAGCCACTCAGTAAGCTTCACATATGAGTGAGGATTTGAACATGGGTTTCCCCAACTCTAACCTTAGCCACTACGCCACACTGGGTCTCAGATGAAGTGTACCTAAAGGCAGAACCAGTGTGGTGTAGTGGTTAAGAGTGTTGGAGTAATCCGGAAGACCCAAGCTTGTGCCATGCCAGCCCGCTGGGTGACCTTGGGCCAGTCACACTAGGGATGCCAGCCTTGGGACCCTCCGAAATTACAGCTCACTTCCAGACTACATAGATCAGTTCCCCTGGAGAAAATGGATGTTTGGGAAGGTGACCTCCCACTGAGGTCCCTGTCCTCCCCAGGCTCCACCCTCGAATCTCCAGGAGTTTCCCAAACTGGAGCTGGCAACCTTTTATGGGACTTTGTAACCCTCCCTGAGCCCGCTTGAGGGGAGGGCAGGACAGAAATCGAATGAATAAAGACATGAATGCCCCCGCTTCACCCCCTGCCAGCAGCCAGGAAGGCTTGGCAACTCTACGTCACACTCTCTCAGCCTAACCTACTTCACAGGGTCATTGTGAGGATAAAATGGAGGAGAGGGGAACACTGTAAGCCGCCTTGGGTCCCCACTGGGGAGAACGGCAGGGCATAAGTGAATGAAACAAATGTTCAAAGCAGAGATGAGAAACCTGGGATATGCACGCTAGATATTAATAACGCCATTGTCCGTTGCAACACTTAAAATGCAGTCCGAAGCAGAGTTGCACCCTGCTAAGACCATTGACGTCAATGGACTTTGAAGGGTGTGGCTTTGCTTCAGATTGCACAATGAGCGTGTCCAGAAGAGGGCAACCAGGATGGTGGGAGGGTTGGAGTCCAAGTCTTACGAGGAAAGGCTGAAAGAGTTGGGTATGTTCAGCCTGGGAAAGAGAAGGCTTAGAGGGGACATGATTGCAGTCTTCAAGTATCTGAAGGGCTGTCATGTAGAAGATGGAGCGGATCTATTCTCTCTTGCTCCGGATTGCAAGACTAGATCTAACGGTTTGGAGATTACAAGGGATTCGATACCGGCTAAATATCAGGAGAAACTTCCTAACTGTAAGAGTGGTCGAGCAGTGGGACAGACTGCCTCGGGAGGTGGTGGATGCTCCTTCGCTGGACGTTTTCAAGCGGAGGCTGGACAACCATCTTTCGGGTCTGTTGTAGGCAATGTTCCCTCTAATCTGTAGAGTCTTGTGAGCAAAAATGCTACTTTGTGAGCTACTGGAATTAAAATTGTGAGTGAGCAATTTGGTTACTGCATAAATTAGTTTGCTCTGGGGCCATCCTTCATGAGCTAAGACAAAAATGTGTGAGCCAGAGGCTAAAAAACTGTGAGCTAGGCTCACACTAACTCAGCTTAAAGGGAACACTGGTTGTAGGGCTATCTTTCGGCTATGCTCCTGCAGAGTGCAGGGGGTTGGACTAGATGGCCTGCAAGGTCCCAACTCTAACATTCTATTATTCTATGATTCTATGCTTATAATATGTCCTAGAGTGCTTGGAAGGTAACAGGCAAAGAATGGCTCTTTTGTCTGCACTTCAAAAAAATTTTTTTCCTGACACCTGATACTGGGACCTTACCTGATTAGACGTTTCAAGGTTCTGAGATGGAAGATGTTGTGCAAATCCTTTCTGCTTTATCGTTTTATGCTGATTGCTTTACATCCCTTTAGAAAATACAAGATATACTGATGAAGAGCTTGATCTTGACACAGGAAGTTGGTTGGTTAGAATTGTGTACTCCAGAGGAAAAAATGATTACATTCCCATTTCTGTTTCTATGAGTCTAACAAGACCTCCAGTTACAGATATGCAGGAAACCTCTGTTCACCTTCACTCTTAGCCCTTTGCCACAAATCCTGGATTGATAATCTGTTTTGTTTTGTTTTTTCCAAATTGAGCATTTTACATAAATAATACTTTGTTTTTATGTTTCCACAATTCAAACAGTCACATTCTCACTTTGGGTTTTATTGTCTCAGAACTGAAAGGGGGTGTTTTAGCCTGCACTGATCTGTACTCTTGAAGAAGAAAGGCAGGCTCGGCATATTATCTATATCCTTCATAGGTGCTGATAAAGCTTTGGGCAACACACACATTTGTGTTTTTAGTAGAAAAGAGCAAGAGTCCAGTAGTACCTTAAAGACTAACAAAGTCTGTGGTAGGGGTATAAGCTTTCGTGAGCCACTGCTAACTTCTTCAGACACGGCTACAGACAGGCTAACACACCTACCCATCTTCATTCGTGTTTTTAAACCTGTCATTTGATAAAAGCATCACTGATCAGATAAAGTGCAAGAATCTGCAAAACAAAATTTTACCTGAAGACCTTCTTTACGACTAGCATAACTCACACAGCTCTCCCTCTCCCAGGACTGAATAAGCAAGGTCTTTTTTAACCCATTGCCCAAACCATTTAGGATGGACACTTTTAAATCAATTTCAATTCAGGTGCCAGATTAGACTGCTCGTTGTACAAAATGCTTGAATACAGGTATTGACTTGAGTGATGATAATGCACTGTGCGAGAACTGGTCTCAGGTTATTTTCTTTAACTCTGCATGAATAGTTATTGTGGTAGAAGTTTCCATCGCATTACATGATAAATGCATCGGTAAATCTGGTCCCTACTTTATTTCCCATCTTCTGGAAAATATTAGAACCTCTCTGCGCAGCAAACAATATTGATCTTATGCTAGCGCTTTACTGAGGATGCCGGAAGAATGATCTATTAGATATCCTTGCCTCCCCCCATAGAACTACACTTCCCAGGATTCTCTGAGGAGAAGAAATGGTTAAAAGCCTAGGCTGCTTCCACACAGAGATATTTCTCCACCTAGGCATTCAAACTGGGGCACTTTTTTATTTTTTAGCATCCATACAACTTCATGCTGTAATTATCCTCTTTTCATGTTTTTCCAATCCTCAATGTGTTGTTTCCCAAACTTCCTTTACTGTGATGTCCAAGTATGTATGAATTTAAAAATGTTTACTTGAGAGCTACTGTGGTGTGGTAGTTAGAGTGCTGGATTAGGATGTGGGAGATCCAGGTTCAAATCTGTACTCAGCCATGGAAACTTGCTGACTGGCCTTGAGCCAGTCACACACTCTCAGCCTCACCTACCTGACAGGGTTCTTAGGAGGATAAGATGGAGGAGTGGGAAATGATGTAAACCACTTCTTCCACTGTGCAGAATAGTGGGGTATAAGTGAAGTAAATATTGTCTATGGGATTTTATTGTGGATGTTTAATGCTGGCTGACCGGAAGGACTGGTTTGCATTTTCCTGCTCTGCATCAGTGCCATTTTCTCACCGTCAGCCCCCTTTGCAAGCATTATTTTTCCCAACTTTTTTTTCCTGCTGTGGCACCGGAAGGCTTTTTGACAGCTTTCTGTTAAAACCAGTGGTTGCTACAGTGCTATGGTGCTTGTGGTATTATAGCACTATAACAATCTAGCATCACCTATCTATTCCCTTTTCAAAGAAGAAATGAGCCATTATAGTGCAATAGTGCATGTATGGGGGGGAAAGAGCCCAAAGAGGAGGAGCGTTGAGTCACCACGGCAGCTATGACAACCACACTCGCAAGAGCCAATGGAGAGTCACTACAGAGCATCTGTGGAAAGGAGAAGCCAGGGAAAATGTGGAGAAAAGTGTTCAAAATTCCCCTTTGTGGATGCTCTGTCGCCAATGTACATTCTTCTGTGTTTATTGTATGTTTCGTTGTTGTACATCAGTAAGAAAGAAGCCTGAAAAGGGGGCAGTATTAAAAACCTACTGTAAACTTATTGTATACATGTATTTATTAGAAAGACAGTTAAAAACATATAAGGGCCCCATGAAAGCCTCATTACAAAGTGCAAGTGACCTGAACTCAAGGTCCAAAACAAGTGACCTGACGTGTTTCCACCCCTTGGGGGCCTTCTTCAGAGGTCGAACACTTTGAGGTACAGATAGACACATGTTACAATGTGACATATTGCAATGAAATAAGCAATAAGTTAATACTGGAGCAAAAAAGGAAAGTTAAGGAGTGAGATTACAAGACAAGGATACTTATGAGGTCTTTGAAGACGAGAGTCATGTGTCTGTGGTGTCAACATCTTCCAGTTCTGGTCCAGAAAATACCTATGTGATTATCTTAGTCCGAGCTGGAGTGTCCTCAGCAAACAGCAGTGCTATTTGCTATAGTCCCTTCACTGTGTCTTACTATCGTTGTTGTACATCACCTTTAGGTCCAAGGTGATCAAATAGGCACCCATTCTTTCACTTAAAAATTCAGATTTTTAAATCTAATCTAACACGAGATCTTCGTTAGAGAACAGTTAAACTTTTCACCCGTGATTCAGCCATTAGCAGTCCAGCACGGCAGCTCCAGAACACATTCCGAGGGAAAGGGCAAGTTCATGCAGGTGTTCCTAAACGGACGTGGGCCTGCTTCCTCTGTTGAAGTTAACAGGCCTCCTTACACCTCTTGTGTAATGAGGCCCCTCGTTAGCTTGTGCAGGAGCATTTCGCATGTGCCCCGCTCCCACTTTTGCACATTTATGCAACCAATTAACAGTGAAACGAAATGCCCAATAACTGGGCACTGGGCTGTTGGCTAAGGTTATAAAACAGATACGAGAATCTGTAAACATACCTTTGCAATAGATTTTTTTTCACCTCCTGTTTTGGAAAATGGCATTAGAACTGGGTTTCAGTCCCCAATTTCATGCATTTTTATTTGCAGTGAATTCTTTTAATGTCCGGAAACCTTGACCTCCTTCCTGCCACAGTCTAGCCCTTTTAAGTCTCACTCATTTTGGTAGGAAAGAAAAGCTCTTGCTTAATCCTGTCCCATTCAAGCCAGTGGGTTTTTACATTGGCCAGAATGTGCCCCATTTGCTTAAGGGCAGTGGCCACTTTTTAAAAAAGATTAGAACTAGGATTATTCCCCACCCCCAAGAGACATTATTTCTTCAATAAGAGTGTACTGTAATTTTACAGAGACCAATTTTGAAAGAAGCACGTAGTAACGATTTCAGCATTTTTCTGCATTTTCTTTCGGCAAATTTTTTTTAAAAGTGACTTGAGGGAGCACCGTAATGGAAATATTTACAAGTCTGACAGCGAAGGATTTCTTTTATGCCTCTTTAAGGGCAAGGAAATTCAAATGCGCTGAATGATTAAAAAAAAAAACACCCTGCCAAGAAGCAGGCGCTGCCTTGAATGCAGGGTTCATTGAGCGTTTGTAAGATGATGTTTTCATATTACATAGGCTATTATTCCTTCTACCCCATTTATCTTCTTTGCTATTTCTAGAGGCAGTTCCACCGGCATTATCATTTACTATAAATGCCTTGTGATTACATATGGTAAGTAAGTAGCAAAATGTTGCTTTGTGCCTGTTTTCTTTGCTGAAGTGTACGAATTCAATTACGGCGGAGTTGTAAATAAACGGATTCACCCCACCCCCTTTTTTTAATTTCCTTCACCAGATGATAGATTTGTATGAGAAAGAACACAAGGCCAATTCAGATCCCGCTCAGACACTGGTGCACGAAGATGAAAGTTTATGCGACGAACTCATTCAATTGCCAGAGGACACCGAAGCATCTTTCCTGGTGAACTCTGCTGCATACTTCAGAAGGGATTGTGCCAAACACACTGCGATTAAAATGCGAGAAAAGGAAGAGAGGTACCTGGCCGATGCGCAAATAACTATCCTTCTGTCTCCTCTGAACTCTTTTTTTATGTATTCATGACAAGTGGGAGGGATTTGCTTCCTATCTTTTTTGTTGAGAATCATAGGCTGCGATCACACGCACAATTAGCCCCGCCATAGCGTGAACGCTGGGCGGATTTAAAGGGCGCAATCAGACACAAACATCTGGGAAGCGCCCCGCACCCATCGGCAACCCGTTTTGCTCCGCCGCAGAAGCAGAGTAAAAAGACACCAGGGGAAATCCGGTAGTAAACGGGTTGTGATGGGCCACGGATGGAATTTCCTGTGTCTGATCGCTCCAGTGCACTCTCATGGCTTTGGGGTGGTCTGATCATGCCGACTCCATGCCATTTTTTCCCCCTTTCTCAGTATGCGCATCATTGCAAACTCCATAGGGAGCCCTCAGTGTCCTTGTTTAGGCGCATCAGAAACAAACAGCAAAAAAAAAAACCTGACTCACCCGCAGTTGCGTCTGATCATGCAGTGGTGGGTTGTGCCTGCAGCTTCCAAGGACTGTGTGATCACGCAACTGCGGGTCAAATTCCTCTGGAGGAAATAGCCTCACTCCCCCCCCCCCACACCGGTGTTATCTCGCGAGTGTGACCGCACCCATAGAATCATAGAGTTGGAATGGGCCATATAGGTCATCTAGTCCAACCGCTTTCTCAATGCAGGATCAGCCTTAAGCATCCCTGACAAATGTTCATCCAGCCGCTGCTTGAAGTCTGCCAGCAAAGTCCATCTAATCCTGCATCCTGTTTTCAGAAAAGACCAACAAAGATCCATTCTACACAGGAAGATGGGATTTCCAAGACTGGAACCCCAGATGCTCTGTGGCCCTAAAAAGTAACGGTGAGGGGTGTCAGAGCAATGAGGCTGTGGGGATTCAGCTCTTTCGCTTGGATTTCCCGGATTCAAATTGCCCCCTTCATTCTTGTAAGCCTCAATCAGGAAAAAAAGACAGATATCTCTATTGTGCCTGTATTTCTCTCCAGATCGGGTCAGGTTTAAAGCAGCCTGAGGAGCTAGTTTCAATGAGGGAAACAGTGCATGGAGAGAAAAGCTTTTTAAAGAAAACCCTCCAGTACTGTGGCCACCATCCGTATTAGGGGCTCCATAGCTGCATTATTAGGGCAAAATAACACACTGGAATTCCTAGATGATCAGACTAGGGTTGAGGATAAAGATCTGTGATCAGAACTCCAGAGTTTGGTGCTAAATGGTTGTAGGACGCTTGTTATATATTGGGACTGGAACATTCCAGGACTGTTTCTACCAGAGACTGGCTGAGCTTGGAGCTCTAGAACAATAGCCCACTAGGACTCTGGAGGTGGCCAATGAGGAATTAATGGTTCTGAGAATGGCCTATCGTTGGTAGTTCTTTGGAAAGTGGGTGGAGTTTGCATGCTATTTAAACAGGGCCATTGCCCTGGCTTTTCGCTATTTGTTCTTGCTGAATCACTAATAAAAGAGAGCTGATCACTAGGCTTGGGGTTGGACCATCCATGGAACCCAGTATTTAACAAAACTGATACTGTTATTGTGGCTAATAGCTGCTGATAGACACTGTTTCCCTGATTTTGTCTGGTCCGTTCTTCAAATATAATCTAGTGACAATCATGCTGTCATTTGGTAATGAATTCTATTCATCGGTGTTTGTTGTGTGACTTGCTTATTTTGTCTGTCTCAGATATTCACATGATAATAGCTAGTGCATAAAGTTAAAAAAAGAAGTTAAAACAAAGGTTGGCAAAGGATGATGGGTAGAATTTCTGTTCAATCTAATAGGAAGAATATCGTCCATTAAAAATGACTTTGCAAGACTTCAATTAAAAATTGTTGGAAAAAAAAACACAAATTAAAATCTTACAGACAGTTAAATTAAAAAAAAAATGCCAGCAACGTGATGGCAGTATCTCAGGTGCCCTAAATTGTCTGTAGTGGGATGTGTTTTATATATTCACTACCTAAATAAGGTTTACTCTTCTAGCGAGGAAATTCATACAAAGTTAAAATTCCTAACAGCAACAAATGGCAGAAGGTATCCACGGGTGCCTCCAGTGCTTGGCATATGCTGACAAGGAGCTGGGTATATTTTAGCCTGGAGAGGAGACAACTGAGAGCTGATATGACAACCATCTTCAAGTACTTGAAAGGCTGCCATATAGAGGATGGTGCAGAGTTGTTTTCTGTTGCCCCAGAAGGCTGGACCAGAACCAATGGGTTGAAATTAAATAAGAAGAGTTTTCAGCAAATTAGAAAGAACTTCCTGACAGAACGGTTCCTCAGTGGAACAGGGTTCCTCGGGAAGTGGTGGGCTCTCCTTCTTTGAAGGGTTTCAAACCGATGCTAGATCTCCATCTGACAGCGATGCTGATTCTGTGAACTGAGGCAGATCATGAGAGGGAGGGCAGGAAAGGTTTCATCAGTGCTCAGTTCTCGTGGCTGTTTCTTACACGTCCAGGGCAATGCTGATCGCCACTTTGGGGTCAGGAAGCGATTTTTCTGCAGGCCAGTTTGGCTGGAGATTCTGGAGGTTTTTGGCATCTTCTGGGCTTGGAACAGCGGTCACTGGGGTGTAGGGGGAGGCCTCAATCAAGCAGAACAGCTCCATTTTACAAGCCCTGCAAAATTGCATTAAATCCCGCAGGGCCCTGATCTCCAGTGGGAGCATGTTCCACCAGGGTGGAGCCAGGCTGGAGAATGCCCTGGCCCTGGTCAAGGCAAAGCAGCCATCTCTCGGGCCGGGAACTACCAGCAGATGTTGCTTGGCAGAGCACAAGGCTCTACAGGACACATAGGGGGAGAGTCGGGGTGATTGCGCAGATGTCAGCTAACTAGTGGATCTCCAGCCTCCTGGTGCCTGTAGGTGTAAGGTTGTAAGCAGTGAGCCACGTGATAGCAAGCGTGCCATAGAATGTGGAATTACAAAATCCTATTTTAAGTGCATGCTTTTCTTTTTAAAAGGTCCAGCTTCTAGCCCTCAAGTTTCTCCTAAATACATAAAAGAGGCCTAGAGTAGCTGAAAAGACCAATGTTAAGAAATGCATCTTTGTGCTCACACTGGGCTTCAGCCCGTCTCCTTGGGCCCAGGGTTCTCCCCCCCCCCATCTGTTATGTATGCCTTTGTCCACCAACTTGTTTTTCCGTATTTCCAGCGTCCTTTCAGTTTTGAAACAAAAGGTTAGGCCAATTGGCCTAAGACAGCGGTCTTCAATATGGTGCTCACTGACACCTTTTTTGGTGTTTTTAGAAAGTGTTTTTAGAAAGTGGGCGGGGCCAAGTGAAGCTGTTGCTCAGCAAGGCTTCTGATTGGCCACCAGAGATTTGATTGGCAGTGCAGATTTTTTTTTAAATGTTGCTTTGGCAACAGCTGCTACCACAGCACAAGGGTCTTCACTGTGTGACTGAAGGTAAGCCGTGGCAGCTATTTCGAAGCTGTGCCCACCACACTGTGTCATATGTCTCTTCTGTGCATGGAACAGGGGTCACTGGGGATGTGGGGGGGGAGGTATTTGTGAATTTCCTGCATTGTGCAGGGGGTTGGACTAGATGACCCTGAAGGTCCCTTCCAACTCTATGTTTCTATGTTTCTAATTGCAGAGGTGCCCACAGGATGTAAAAGGTTGTGGACCCCTGGCCTAAGGTCACCCAGTGACATTCCATGGCCTAGTGGGTGTGAGAGCCCGTTTGGTGTAGTGAGAGCCAGTTTGATGTAGTCTTTAAGTGCGCGGACTCTAATCTGAGAGAACCGGGTTTCCCCACTCTCCACTTGCGGCTGCTGGATGACCTTGGGCAAGCCATAGTTTTGTCAGAGCTGTCCTTGAAAAAGCAGTTTCTGTACACATTTGAAGTAATAAATAAACAAACAAACAAACAAACAACACTGCTCACAGGGTGTCTGTTGCAGGGACAGGAAGGGAAAGGAGTTTGTAAGCCGCTCTAAAACCCCAAGTGAAGGGCGGGGTATAAATCCAATCTCTTTGTCTTCTGAAACTGGATCTCCCAGATCCCAGTCCAACACTCTAACCACTACACCACACTGGCTCATCTTGGGTGAACTTTTAGAAATGCAGGTAATATTTCACAGCTCGACCTTTTCTTAGTATATAGAGAGGTAAGAAATCAGGTGAATGAAGCATTTAACTGGAAAACAAGACGTTGCGCGATATGCAGAGTACCTAATGCATGGAGTTATTGTAGAGAGCAGCAAGGCATGTATGGCTCAATGTCTTCGAACTTCTTCGTCGCTGTAGTTCCCATGATGGCAAAGTACTCCAAGTGAGTTTGACCCCCAGCTGCTTTTATACAATGACACTTCAGGGCACTGTAGTTTATTGTAGGCTTGCTCCAGCCATGCCGCTGCAATTACATCAATTATAGCGGGAGGCAAACCAATGAAGCCGAGCTCACCGCTATTCTTCATATATTAATGTGAGGGAGCGGGCCATTCCGTAATAGTCAGGGAACGATCGTAATGTGATCATAATGGGTTTCATGACCTGAAAGGAAATGCAGCTTTGATGGGAACTGCTCAGCTACCAACCTCCGCCAAGGAGGGAAAAGGTGAGTTGTCCTAATAAACGGCTCTCCTTGAACGGTCGTCTTCGGAAAAAGTGAATGTAGGGGGGGGGAGTGAAAATCTGACTCTCTTTGCACTGATCCTGCCCATCAGATTGTCATCGTCATCACAACTCTGTCAGGATCATTTATGTAGACAATCTGTGTTACAGTTTTTCTTAACACAGATATGAGAATGCACTTATGTGTTGTTCATAGACCGTGCAGCTAGGGTACCATTCGCAAACTTCCAGTATGGGATCCCCCACCTCCACACTCTCGTTCCCACCCCTGCTGATGTTTGCCGAAGGAGAAAAAAGGGGGAAGAGAATGGCATCTGTCCTGGAAGTGGCCTAACTTTCAGGTTACACTCTAGGAATCCCCCCAATGGCTATTCTATTTACCAGAGAGAT